GACACTTGATTTCAATATTTCTTGTCATTTTTCTTATCTTAGGAGTAGTTTAACATAGATTTATATTTCGAAGCATTTATTTTCAGCATTTTCATTTCGAAGCATTTCATGGTGGTAGCGGGTAGGTGGCGGGTGGTGGTGGTGGGTGGGTAACGATGGCAGGTGGTAGGTGGTAGCGAGTGGGTGGTGGTAGTGGTGGTGGTGACACGATCCGAATCAATTTTTAATTAAATTTCACCATAGCCTCTAAAAATTAGGCTAATCGCAATAACACGGTCAATTTCTGTTTCTGAAGCCTATACGGCCTTCAATTTAAATTTTATAACAAAGAATCAAATAGATTTTCTTACGGTGAACGAATAGGAATTGAAAAACACATACACTCATATAACAAGCATTCAAAGTCATATTGTAGAGGGTTAGAAATTAAACCCTAAACTAAGTATGAGCCTAAGCACTGAGGTCGCCCTAAAGAGGCGACTGGAAATAAAAAAGGAGCATGGGCCAAAGCCCAAGGAAAGTGGACCAACAATGGGCCGTAGCAAATCCGACCCATCAGGGCTCCAAATGGACTCTACAAAGAAAAATGTCCAAGTCAAGTTGCAGAGGCAACACCTGCGACGGTGAAGGAGGGAACATGTGCAGCGAGAGAGTTACTGATGTACTTTGCCTCAGCGCCGCCATTCCTAATATCTTCAGTTTCGCCACCATCTGAAGTTACTGAGGAAAAGAGAAAGCCAACACAACTAAGTTGCAGAGGCAACACTTGCGACGGCCAAGTTGCAGAGGTTAAGTTGCAGAGGCACTTTGTCTTAGTGCCACCATTCCAAGTATCCTAGGTTCCGCCGCCATTCCAAGTAATGTAGGTATCATAACCATCTGGAGTTGTTGAGAAAAGGAGAAAAAGCAGAAGCAACTAAGTTCCAGAGGCAATACTTACAGCGCCCAAGTTGCGGAGGCATTTTGTCGGTGCCGCCATCTCTAATATCTTCAGTCCTGCTACCTAAACTTGCTGTGAGAAATGAGTACCGAAGCAACTACTACCGCAGCAACTAAGTTGCAGAGGGGATACCCTGCCAAGGTGATAGCAGCCTTTGAGAGAGGTTTGCCTCTACAACTAAAGGCTAATGCTTGGCGCTGATAGCAGGCCCAAAGGCGTTACTAGCCCAGGGCTGATAGCAGGCCCCCCCTCTCTCTTAGTTCATTTAACCTGGCGCGAATAGTAGGCCCCAAGACTTACTGGTTGGAATTGATAGCAGGCCCAGAGATACCAATTTACCGCTGCAATCCCGCAAAAATGGGAGCAGGGTAGCCCAAACATAAGGGACTCTATTTCCATTACCCAGGTCATAGACCTGACTTAGTCACACAGGTAGGACTAAGGAAGCCGCCTTGGACTCGGTACTAAGGCACAGCATGGCTGATAGCAAGCTTGGCTATGGCCTTCGCCCTGGGAAGCTGGGGAGTTTGTGGTTAGGTGGCTAAGGGTGAAGGTTTCGCTGAGGTGAACACGAACATAGCCGATAGCAGGCTGATGGAGTCCTGAGAATGCATGTACTAGCCAAATAGAATTGAGAAGGCAAGTGCAGCGGCAAGGTTCACCGCTGCAAGTGCACTTCCTGAGATTCAAACTGAGAAGGCAAGTGCAGAGGTAAACACCACTGCTACAATTGTACTTGTTGAGACTCAAAAGGGAGTCACTGCGCCAAACACTCTCGTCCCAACTACACTTACTGAGGCTCAAAAAAGGTAGTTGTGGAGGCAAACAGATAGTACACAGTGCATGCAGAGGGGCACGTGGCACCTTCAGCCTTGTGGCTCACGGTAGAATATTCTATGTGATCCCCTAGGACACATGTGTTCTCTCTATTTGGCCACTTGGTGTCCTATTGGCACCAAGGAAAAGCTTATAAATAGAACCCATTTCCTAAGGTTCAACAAGAGGAATTTTGAGGATTTGGGGGAGATGCTGCCCATTTTGGAACTGCCATTGTCTTCTTCTTGAGCCATTTGCTTCACCCTCACCCAGCTACACACTCTCCAACTCCTAGATAGTTGCTGCTACTCATTCTCCAACCACTTCCACCACTATTGGACCATTAACATAGTTTTACCTCTCTAATCACCTCTCTAACCTTGAAGCCCCTACACATATCAAGCTCATGATTATAAGTATAATTTAGATTAATTAGCATAACACAGAGTACGGTTACCATTAAATGTAGTCAAATTTTTAGAAAAAATTATATATATTAGAAGTTTTGATTGAAAGATTAGGACCAAAAAATATATATAATTATTATTAACTTCACAATATATTACTCCTCTAGTCATTTTTTATCTGAAAATATCATAATCTTAAAAATAAAACAACAAAAATTGATTTATGTGAAGCTAAAATTAATTGAATGGTAAGTATATCATTAAGTTACTTCACCGTCTAAATAAATAGAACCACCACATGGGTACATATAGATATTATTTTATTTTATTTTGTCCAACATGGGTGCATATAGACACAACTTGCACTAGATAGTAAGACAATGTATATCATTTTAAATTTGATTTCAAGACTTCGTTTGTTATAAGTTATAATAATTGTGTTTCATGATTCTCAAAAAAATAAAAAAATAAAAAAACCTAAAAATAAAAAAAAAATGAAATTGACAAGTCAACAAATCTAATCAATTCAATTCACACCCAAACTAATTAACTATTTTTATATCAAAATAAATAAAAGAGAAGAAAGAAAACCATGTGGTTATCTATTGGAAATTCTATAATACACACCTTATTTTGGACTATATATTACATGCCTCAGTTGTGATCTTTGTGGTATTTAATTATAATTTAGTTATGACTCATTGTGATATTAGTTATAGCTCATTATGATTATTATTTTGGTTATAATTCAAAAGATTTTTTATTATATTTTATGTGGTATTTTGTTATAACTTATTAATGTTTTTTTTAAAAAAAGTTATGATTGCAAATTATTTAGTTATAACTTTTGTAATAATTAACTTGTATATTGTATATACCCTTTTAAGACCGTGTATTTTCTAATATGATCCAGTAATTTACTTCTTCATTAAGAATCTTTGCCTGTAGGTTGAGGCCTACAAAAATGAAATGTAACAATAATTTACTCCAATGTCATTCTTTTTTGTATACTTGGATTTTGGGACAGTTTACAGGCATTTCGATTAATTTTAAGACCTTAAAACTAAGGATTAGACAAACCTTTAGTGACCCTTAAAATAACTCGAACTTAAGATTTTAAATTTCATTCTACCATTCTTTTGTATTTCCACCACCTCAAAAAATTGAAGACTAAGCTACCATTAGTTATATAATAAAATAGGTAATTAATGTCCAAGTAACACTTAAATTGTTGACAGATTAAAAATTTAAACAGTAGTAAAATTATTAGAAAAAATTATACATATTAAAAGTTTTGATTGAAAGATTAGGGCAAACAAAAAATAATCATTATTGAACTCAATATGACATATATACATGAGTTTTCTTATTCAAAAAAAAAAATATTATATTATATAATATAAACAAAAACATTTAAGACTCTTTGTAATTCAAAGTCTCAACACTTTTTTCTCAAATTTTTGAATTTAAAAAATATAAAAATACATATGTCAATAAACTATTGGTTATTTGATCAATATGGTAATGTATTTAAACATTTAAACATTAACTTTTGAAACATTTTTGATTGAAAGATTAGGATAAACAAAAAATAATCATTATTGACCTCAATATGACAAATGTATATGAGTTTTTTTTATTCAAAAAAAAATATTATATTATATAATATAAACAAAAACATTTAACACTCTTCATGATTCAAAGTCTCAGCACTTTTTTCTCAAATTTTTTAATTTAAAAAATATAAAAATACATATGTCAGTAGACTATTGGTTATTTGATCAATATGGTAATGTATTTAAACATTTAAACATTAACTTTGGAAACATTTTTTATGAATTTTTTTTATTTTTTATTTTTTTAAATATTAAAATCATATCATTTATTGATCAATATGGTAATATATTCTCTAAAATCATGATACTTTTTTAAAAATAGTTTATTAAAAATTTATAATATGAAATACACCTATTATAAAATGATAAAATTTAATAACATTATATTATAATATTATGAGCTCTTTAATTATATTATTAGTTCTTTCTTATTTTCATTTAATTTAAATATTTTATGGTAAGATTTTAATTTTCTTTAATTAGGATCATTTAATCTTTAATGAGCAATAATCTGACTATAATTTCTATAATAAAAAGCATACATGTTTTGAAATTATCACTTTATTTTCAGTTGACAAATGAAACTATAATTAATATTTGTGAGTGATAATTTTTTTCAAATATATTATTAATGCAAAATAACCTTTTTTTCCAAAATGTTTTAAGAGTTTCAAAATATTAATTTCAGTTTATAAAAATTAATAAATATGTTGCATAAAAAAGAAGTAATTTTTATATATATACACATAGTTTACTATATCATCATATAAATCTAATATATGACAAATTAAAATTATGAAACCTTTAGAAAATAATAATATATTTATAATTTAACATAGTTTTTATTTAATTTTTACTAATTATATTATGATTCATGTATTTGTTGTTCAGAACTTAAAATATAGCATTAATGATAGGAAAAAAGAAACAGAAGTGAAATTGTGATTAAATAGTTAAAATTTAATTAATTCATTTTTTTTGTGTATTTTAATTGTTTTACTGTTTAATTTTAAAATTAATTATTATTTATTTATTTGAAACCGTGCATGGGGTATTCTGTTAATACACCAATTAATGCACATGTTTTCTTTTGTAATGTGATTGGGTGTCTTGGCCCCATAATGTTGATTTAAGAGGATATTTGATATGTACTAAGGGGTTGTTTGGGGTATCCTAAATAAGTGTACTTTTTGTCTTTTTAGACTAAAAAATTGAGAAAGAAAATATAGATGTTTGGGTTAACTTTTTGATTTTTTATGAAAAAATGTGTGATAAAAAATTATAAAAATTAGTTTGTAAGAAAAAATTAAGATTGAGAGTTATGTAGCCGTAATTATTAATTTTTGGTGAATAGTGTTAACTTTTTAACTTTTTGAGTAACTTTTTGACTTTTTGATTTTTCCTAGACATGCCAAACTTGGCTTAAATTAATATATTTTTTTACTTTTTATAAAAAATATAAAATATGAGTTAAGTTTAAAGTGATACTATAATGAAATAATTTGACTAAAATCAAATGATTGTGAAAATAATGTAAAGACATGACGAACACCCCTTTAGAAGGGAATCCTAAAAAGATTATGCTCACATCTATTTTAAACAAGGAAAATGATTGGTGGCCCTAAAAAAGTTGCCCCTAATACCCCTAATTTCCATTTTTAGAAACTATTTTTTTTTTTACTTTCTTTTTCCTTTTTTTTTTTTTTTTTTACCTTAAATGGAAATACGGGGCATTCGAGCCCCCTGTTTTCGGGCCCTGAAGCACGGCGTTTAAACAAACCCAACTGGTCAATACTCAGTACAGCAATAAAAAAATTCCAAAAATCCCTTGAGAAATAGACAAAATCCTGGCGTCGATCTGCGAACTTTTATCAAAAAAAGACTTTCCTTTAGCAATAGAAACCATTATAGTCTTTTTTTATCTCAAGGTGTGGTTATAACAACTCAATTTTTGTTTTATTATTGTTATTTTTTTATTTTTTGCATAGGGAAGAAGAAAATGTCTGTGATAAAATAGTTAAAATATAATTAATTTTTTTTGGTGCATTTTAATTGTTTTACTGTTTAATTTAAAAATTAATTATTATTTATTTATTTGAAACCGTGCATGGCGTATTCTGTTAATACACCAATTAATGCACATGTTTTCTTTTGTGATGTGATTTGGTGTCTTGGCCCAATGATGTTGATTTAAGAGGGT